GGGAGGGAGGAGAGGAGGGGGGAAGGGGAGGTGCCTCAGATCAGGAATCTGGACCTCTCTCTTGTCCAGCGAGAGAGCAGACACAGAAACGAAGACGAGAGAGGCTAATTAATGTCTGGGGGGAGACGAGGGCCCCGAGCAGGGATTTCGTGTCCGTGTTTGTTGAGCTCTCAAGATCGTACACACGTGGTGAATGTGCAGAAAACAATCAGATAGCAAAGCATGAACTTGTGTGTGTAAGAAGCAAAGAGTCTGGGGGGCGAGGTGCGTTTGAAGTTGTGGTCAGAGCACAATAGTGTGTCGGCGGCAGATGGAGAGTAGCTTCCTGTAGCAAGTTACTCGTGATCCTGTGACAATATCTCGCTAACTAACCTCGGGCGCTTTCACCCTGTGGCGCCGGCTTTCTGCCCTCAGCTTCCTTAGGTAAGTGTAAGGAATCCTTGAACCTATTTCCCACAGGGCGGGAGGGATGGGGCGAGGGAGAGGAGGGGATGTGTGGGGAAGGAGAGAAGGAGGAGGACGGGGTTGGGTAAGAAGGGGAGAGACAGGTGCCAGGGGACCCAGGGTGTCACACTCCTCCCAGTCTTTCCCATCCCAACACGTGACAGCCCCATTCTGCCAGTTACTCTGGTCTGAACCGTACGTCTTCCTTGACCTCTTCACATGCACACCTCCATCCAACCAGTCAACAAATGGTGTTGGTCCTATTTTTAAAATATACCCACAATTCATTTATTGTCACCACTTCCATCGCTGTCGCCTGGGTCCCAGGCACCTTGCGAGGCTCCCGGGATCTGCCCTTGACCTCGCTGAACCCCCATGTCTGCCCTTCAGGCCATGCCGCCTCCCTTGTCGTTCCTCCAACAGCAAGACTGTGCTCCAGCCTTTGGACCTTTGCAGTTGCTTATGTGTTTGTTTAGTGTCTGTCTCTCCCGCTAAAAATGTACACGAAGGAAGGGGTTTGTGCATTTTATTTACTGCTGCGTCTCCGGAACCTAGAACAGCGCCTGGCACATAATAGGTGCTCAGTAAGTAATTGTTGAATAAATTAATGAATGCTATCACCACACACACACACACACACACACACACACACACACACTTCTGTCTGCTCCCTGGCTGTCTGACCTTGAGCCATCAACTTAACCTCTCTGTGCTTCTTATTTTCTCATTTGTGAAGGGCAACGTGGCCTAACGTGACACGGTGCCTGGCACAGCCGATCCTCATGGATGTGGTTCCTTTGAGCCACTGCCAAGAGCGCACATAATAAAAGTTAGCATGTAGTATGTGTTCATCAAAAAAAAGTTAGCATGTAGTATGTGTTCATTAAATCATCATATTTAATCTTTTGTGGATGTGATACGCATTTCCATTTACTTTAAGACATCCTATATCTCACTTAATCTTCATGGTCGTTCTGTGAACTGAGCAAGGGGAGGTATCTTTATCAAGCCTGTATTACTGGAGGACTAAGAGTCAGATCGCTCTTTCAGCTAATAAGGAGCAGAACGAAGCCTTGAATTTGGGTCTTCCGACTGAAGACTTTGCCTGATAAGTAATATACATCTTATAATACACGTGTATGTTTTTGGATGAGCAATTGGGTGAAAGAAAGCAATTAAGGATAACCTTCCTACTTGAAAAATTATCTTCAAGGCAAAGCAAGAAATCACTTATTTGCTAGACACCTGAAGTTTGCCGATCTAGGAAATTTGATCATGGAGCCTGAGCATTTCAGAACTTACAAAAGTGGTTCTTGACAAGTGTAACACTGGCCCCAAGGACATTGAAAATTCATGAGGATGCTTTTTGGTAACCATGGTGATCGGGGGCAAGGATGCTACTGACAACTAGTGGGAAGAAGCCAGGGATACTAACTGTTCTACGATGAACAAGATGGTCCTGCAAAAAACTGTCTCTTCCTCCCTCCCTGTCCTTCTTCCCCTTCTTCCTCTTCCCCTCTCTCCCTCCCTCCCTTAGTCTCCTCCCTCCTTCCTCTCCCTCTCTACCCTTCTTCCTCTTCCCCTCTCTCCCTCCCTCTCCTTTCCTGGAAAGCAATACAGGAACCTGACCGTCCTTTAACCCCACTTACCACCGCCATCACCATCTCCAACTCACATGCTACTTGTGTTGTATATTTCAAGTCTCTATATGTTCAAGGGCCTCAAAGCATTACTCTTATTTTACAACATCAGTGCTCATCCTATCCACGTATTTACTACGCTCTTCACTGTCAGCTCTCTCCTACGTCTCTAACTGTCCCCCGGGGATCACGTTCCTTTTTCCTGAAGTATGTCCCCTTGGAGATTTTTTTGGTGACTGTCTTGTGATAATGAACTCTTAGTTTTTGTTTGCCTGAAAACGTCTTGATTTTACCTTCGTTGTCGATGGGTATTTTTGCCATATATTTGGCGGTCATTTCAGTACATGGAATACGTCACTCCTCCGTCTTCTGGTGTCACTAGTGACGAGTCAGTTGTCAGCCTAACCGTGGCTCCTTTGTAGGTAAACTGATTCCTCCGGCTGCATGTATATTTTTCTCTTTGTCTTCGATTTCGTTTCATTTCAACCTGAGGTGTCTTAATGATGATTCCTTTTTCACTTGTCCTGTTTGGAGTTCACTGGGATTCCTGAATCTGTGGATGGATCTCTTTCATCAGGTTTGGAAACTCTCAGCCATTCTCCTAAAATACTGTTTCTCTCTCTTCCTTGCCTCCTGGAACTCCAGTTAATGTATGTTAGACCTCATTCTGTCTTCCGTATCTTTATACCGTCTTCCATGTTTTACATCTTTCTGTCTCTCCGTGCTTTTTTCCGGATAGTTCATTCTAATATACTCTCCAACTCACTAATTTTCCCCAAACTGTGTCTAACTTGCTGTTGACTTATTAATTACAGTTATTATCGTTTTTTATACTATGATTTCTATTTTATTTATTTTCAAATATGCCATGCTACTTGTTACGGCTTCTAATTTTCTCTATTTCAAGCTCTTCCTTTATTTCTTTAAACACAATATTCCTAGTTATTTCAAAGTCTATATCTGATCCTTCAATATGTACGGTTCTGTGGACTGGGACACCTGAGTGGCTCAGTCGGTTAAGCGTCCAACTCTCATTTTCGGCTCGGGTCGCGATCTCACGCTCAGTTTTGATCTCTCACTCAGTTTTGTTGAGTTCGAGCCTCACATCAGGCTCTGCGCTGGCAGTGCAGATCCTGCTTGGGATTCTCTCTCCCTCTCTCCCTCTCTCTCTGCCCCTCCCCTGCTCACACTGTCTCTGTCTCTCTCAAAATAAATAACCTTAAAAAAATTTTTTTTAAACTACTTTCCCTAAAAAAAAAAAAAAAAAGTTCTGTGGACTTATTACTATTTTCTCTTTCTTCTGCTGGTTATTACTCTTGGTCTCCTGTTTCCTCGTGTACCTAGTCATTTACGCGCAGGTCATGATACTTATAAATTCTTTGTGAAATCATTTGACGCTCTGGGTTAGCGATCTTACTCCAAAGGGACTTTTGTTTGGCTCTTAGGAACACTCAATTTCTTCCTCTCAGTTAATTGTCACGGTATCCTTTTGGGGTTGGTGGTGTTATTACACCTCACCTGGCAGGTAAGAATAACGAGGCTCCAAGGGTCTAAGTTGTCTTCTCGGAATTGGACACTGGTGGATCCAGGACTCGAACCCACCTCACGCATAATCCAGAGCTCAAGCTCTTAACCAGGAGTCAGTAAAATTTTTCCAAAATGCCTTAGGTAGTGACCATTTCAGACTCTGGGGGCTACGTACGTGGTCTCTGCCTCAACCAGCCAGCTCTGTCTTTGTAGCATGAGAGCAGCCACAGGCTACACACAGATGAATGGGCGTGGCTTTGGCTTCAAGGAAATGTTATTGACAAAAGCAGATGGCAGGCCGGATTTGGCCCTTGGGAGATGTGCTTTGTGCCACGACAGGACAAGTGCATGTTTCTGATGGTCTTTTCCCCCTCCTCAGTGCAAGGAGAAGCTTGGGAAGCCACTCCCACCCCAGTACGCCCTGGAGCTCCTGACCGTCTACGCCTGGGAGCGTGGGAACAAGCAGACAGATTTCAGCACCGCTCAGGGGTTCCAGACCGTCTTGGTATTAGTCCTGAACTACCGGGAGCTTTGCATCTACTGGACAAATTATTATGACTTTGAAAACCCTATCATTAAACAGTACCTGAGGAGACAGCTCAATAAATCCAGGTACCCTACACTTCCACGTGGGTCGGCTCCCCACAGAAAGGAACCCCTGGTGCCCTGTGGCACCTTGGAAGTGGGGGGCAGGGGGAGGGCTCCGTGCTCACGGATCATCTTCTCTGGCCAGTCATCGTGCTGAGCATTTTACTACTGCCCATCTGATTGAACCTACAGCCTCCCGCCCTGTGAGGCAGGCAGTATGTGGCCACTTTACAGGTGGACAAACTGAGGTTCTGAGAAGTCAGGAGCTTGCCTAAACCTTAACAAAAACATGAGTAAAATTTCAACAGCCGCAGCAACAATGCTCGTTGCTCCGAGGGATTAGAGCTTGCGGCAAGACAAACGCATCCTGATATAGTAAGCAAAAAATTACGGTCCTTACAGCTAACGTGTACCGACCTCTTACTACGTTCCGAGTCCTGTGCAGAACATTTCCCACGTTCTGTCTCCACCCTCACATCATGTCCTATGAGACAGGTGTCCTCTGCTCTCCCCATTTCACAGATGAGGAAATTGGCTTAAAGAGGTCAACTGACCTGCCCAAGAGCAAACGACTAATAAAGGGCAGAAGGGAGATTCAAACCCAGGCCTGTCAGACCCAAGGGCCAGGCTTTTTCTCCCCTTGCCCACCACCGGCCACGGGGGCAGGGCAGTCAGGACACGCCCCCGGGGGAAC